TGCCCCTGAGCATTTATCTGTATGTAACAGTTAACAGTTTGGTTATGCAAATATGAAGTGTTTCCTGAGTTTCCTGAATGATTGCCTTTTGTAAAAGCTCACCTGCTCTTCTGGGACTTTAAATGTTTGATTTAATAATTCTAATATGCCGTATGGAAGAGAGAGGAAAAGAATGGGGGCTAAGAAAAAGGAGAAATTAGTGGAGATGACGGAGAGAAGCCAAGGTAGAAGTCATGAAACAAAATCAAGTAGAAGAAAATGGAAAGACAGCAGGGAGGAAAGAGTGCATCCAGGAAATGATTTAATATAAGCCAATGATTCACCTTTTGTATAACTGCAAACAAAAGAAATAAAAGTGGGAATACAGAACGCTGAGCATAAAGAGGGCAGCTCATCCTCAGTGTTCTGTATTCCCACTTCCATTTCTTTTGCTCGGATGTGTCATTTCCAGGAACTTCTTGCATGGTGTGTGCTGGGAAGGCCAGCCAGGGGAAGGAGGGGCAGAGCCAGACAGAAATCACCTACAGAGAATATGAGTGTGCCCTTCTCCTCTCTGTTTCCCCTGTGTTCCCCCAGCTGCACAGCTGCTGGTGACTCAATGGGTCACCAATGCGTTCTGTGCCTGGGCGGCGGGCTGGGACAGGGGTGGCCCTGCTGGGGACAGGTGTCCAGCTCCATCCCCAACAAGAACTCACTCACTGCGGGGGATAGCGGGGTTCCAGCTGGCCCTGGGGACAGGGACCCATTTGCTGCACTGCTGGCACACAAGGGTCAGCCAGGGATCCTGGCCAGGCACTACATGCACTGCGGTGGGGCTGGGAACAAGAAAAATGATGGGGCCACACGGTCTGAGAGAATTCCTTAAAGGCAGCTTGAGCCATGCTGGCTGTGAAGGTTTCTGCTGTATTGGATTAGTGAGTTGTTTAGGGATCTGGGGCAAACCAGTAAAACAGGCTGATGAATCCACACGGTAGGTGCCAATCTGGGTTGCTGCCTTTTTTAGGAGTAAACAACTAGGAGCCATTGTTCATCCTTCTAACTCTCTGCAGGACACAGGCTGTAAATTACATCCAGGAACAAAAGCTTGATGGGAGTAGAACCGGGCGCTCAACTTCCCGAGGGAGTGCTTTGCCCTCCAGCCAAAAGAGCAGCTTTTCTTGCTTAACCCAGCACAGACTCTTCTTATGCCTTCCCATCAGCACTCAGAGCCCAAGAAAAGTGTGCAGTTCAAGATGTGCCACACTGGAGCATTTACAACCCTTGCCATTACAAAATCTGTTTTCCAGATTGATAATGAAAATTAAATCTACTCTGAAACTGAATCCAGTCTGAAATGCAGGAAACTAGATTGCCGTCTAGGGACATGGAGGAAATCTTATTAAAAAATAGCATATTTTATTGATGTTACAGATAAGTGGGTATGAAATCCTCCCTGCTCTCCCAAATCTGATTTTCAGCCAGTCTCACAGATCACCCGCAGTCTACGCAAAATACACACAGCCATCACCAGAACTGCCTAATGACATTTGTGCTTTTTATACTCACTAACAGCAGTTGCTCTTCAACTCCCCATAATAAGCTTGAAATATTCACCAAATTATGTTCAGAAAATTATTTTTTTAATTAAAAATAAATAGTATTTCTGCTGATAATAGAAAAAAATTAAAATTAGGAGCCATATTTTTTAAAAAATTTTGGGGTGTCGGAAGACAAATGCCAGCTATTTTCACAGAAACAAAATTCCATTCTACCCTTCTTTCAATTTATCCCATTCAATAGTGAAATTAATCTCCACTGATACCTTTCTTTCCATCATAAGTACACATTCATTCAGGTACATCCATTTTCTTGTCTGTCCACAAAAAAATCTAAATAAATTCTAGGGAGAAGCTGTGCCACTGAGTTCAGCAGAATTTTGATATTTCAATTAAGCTAGGCCAGAATTTCATCCTCTATGTGAATTCCTGCAAAAAACCCAACTTTTTATATCACCATAAGCCATGCATGTTCCTTTTCTAGGGCTCCAACATATGTACTCCCTATTAGGATTTTGATCAAAATTAATTAGTGTTGGCTACAGTTCACATATGTGATGAAATCACAAATGAGTTATTTTGGTGTTCCTATACTATATTTTACCATCACAGATTCAGTATTCACTGTATCAAAGGCATCACAGAAAAACACTCTATTAAATGCTGGGGTTTTATCCTTTTTCAGTCTTAATGTTTCATTCTCTTTTGAAAACTTAATTCATTAATCATTTTACAAATTTTTGGTGCCAGTAGTTTAGCTTCTTGTTGCCAAGGAAGTAAGCAAATTCCAGATCTCAGATATTTAACTGTACTGACAGGCTCAAAAGGGATGCTCTGCTGCATTTCTTCTGCTGAAGATTTGCTTCAGGATTTTTCTGTTCCTATGTAATAAGGTTTTCCCAAACTAAAGGAGAAGTTGTGTATTCCTCACAAAGAAATCCTCAAAACAAAACCAAAAACCAAACCCCCAAACCCAACAGTTTTTTCTGGAGTCGCAAATCTGCTTTGATTAAATTTTCTGAGCAGTATTACGCCCTGCAGCCAGGCTAAATTTGGACTTTTGTCCACCTGAGAACGACATAAGCTGATCATGTTTGTGTGGGAGAGAAGGAAATATTTTTGTGTCTTTTTTTTTGTTGGGGTGCACATGTGTGTCCTAGGCTGACGTGTAAGGAGGCAGATGGCAGGAGGAATGGCCAGACTGACGTGTCACATACAAACATGTCACGTTAACTATTTTTGTGATTTATCACATGAAATGTCGTGATGTTATCAGTTATTTTTCTTATGTAGATCTGTCTTTTCCTTTTGTATTAGGTACTTGCACCTCCATGCACGTGGTGTAAATGTGTCTAATCTTAGCCCAGGTTTTCAGGGTAGCAAGCAACAAGTCTTTCCAAAGCAGAATACCACCCACCCTTGCTGAACACATGCAGAAGTATTGAAAAGACTGAGATGAATAACAAGTAATATTTTGGTATCTAGAAAACAACCTATTCATAATCAGGTGTCAGAAGGGTTAGAATTAGAAACTTCAGACCATGAAGAGACTAGGAATTTCCACTCCTGGTTAAATACATCTCTGCCTCTATCCCTAAAATGGATGTTATTCTCCCTTTACCTGTGCCAAAGAAAACTTCTTTTTCTTTTTTTTTTTCTTTTTCTTTTTTTTATTTTTTTTTATTCTGTATCATTATGAATACAGAATATTAATGGAAAGGCAATTTATGTTCATCAAAAATAGGATTCAAAATTTCCTGAATTTTAATTAAATGTTTAATTATTCTGTTTCATCCATAGGACGTGAATTTTAAAATAATTTAGCAATTGAAAAAAAATATATTCTTAGTAAATTTAAAACATTCATTAACAGTGTGCCAGCATTTTGAAATTCCACTAAAATTTATTAATGGATTTTGATGCCAAAACATTTATAGATATAAATGTACAGGATTTTACAGAACTATTTCTCTTTTGACTTTAGACAATAAGATATATAGGCGATTGCTTTTTAATTGCTTTTAAAACCATTTCTTTAAAAAAAAAGAAAAAAAGTGGCATATTCGCTAAAGAAAATGTGTTTCATTCATGATTTCAAAGTTGCTAGCTTCATAATAAAAAGATTCCCTGTGTTTAAAGAAAATATTTTTCACTTTAACTTTGTCCCATCAGATATTCTAGACTTGTAGGAAAAGCCTGTTGGAGCCTGTTGCTAAAAATTTGGCTGGTTGAGGAAAGGATAGCTGGCCATCTCCAAGTTAAAAGGCAAAATAAGGCAAAGTCCTGAAAACCTCTTTATGTGACCTTCTTGTGCTTGTGGCTGGAGAGACCTGTCTGTATTTTTCCATTGTTTGTGTTAACAGAGATTAAATTAATTAGAAAATTCTTTCAAGTGGGAAGATCGACAATATGGTAATTAATAATAGGACTATTCATTCCAGATTTGGCAAGGGAAACTGAAATCAGGGCACTTCTGGCTGTCAGTCATCGCCACATGCTGGTGTTAAAGGTGGGAAGCGCTGGCTTTGGTGGTCCCTGACCAGCCCCTCATCCCACGGCACAGGAGCCACTGTTACAGTTCTCCAGCTCTACAGAGAAGCCAGCGCATGGAGACACCACAGGAATCTCCAAGGCATGCAAGAGACAGGCCTTTTGCTTATCTACAGAGGCCTTGAGGTTTTCACCAGGGGTTTCATGAAGAGCCAAACACAACCACACGCTGCAATGAGCATGTGTCCCTCAAGAACCGAGACCTCATCTGAACCTCAAAGATCTCGTACCTGTTTCTCTGCTTTCTGAATTGGGAATAGGAGGAAAAATTCCTTCTGTACCTTGTGCCATCAATGCAATAAAATATCAGCCCTAGTCTCCAGTATCACTCACTTCTGGCACTGCCATTATTCACTGTTCTTGTTGGAGCAGCCCGTGCAGGGACATCAAGGGTAGAACGGGCTGTGGGAAACTGAACCTCCTCGACTTACCTTCTGCATGGTGTTATCCTGCAGCTGTGAGCAGAAACATTGCAGAAAGCTTCACTGCAGAGCAGGCATTTTACTTGCTCTTAATTGAACCACAAAAAAGAAAAAATGGTGGGATAGGAATAAATAAGCAAAATGTTTTTGGGAACTATCTAGGTTGTTACAGATGCTTTACCAGGGTTCAGAAACTCTAGTGCTTTTATGTTCACTTGGTTTGCAATAATGAAGAGATTTTAAAATGCAGGAGGAAAAGCTTGTAACAAACTGCATTTCTGAGGTAACTCAGGAGAGATTACACAGATTTTCCTACAAGCACACTAAGTATAACTTTTGACTAGGCTTGAGTAAGAAGAGAAGGTTTAGTGAGTGGCTCTTTAAAACTCAAGTGTGCCTGCTTAGTCAGTGCTAGCTCTCCTTCCACTCCCCCTTCTTCTGCTGCTGGGTAACTTTTGTTGCAATATGGGTGTGACTTTTGATGGAGCTTCCCCCTCCCAGTTATGTCATTACTTCAGTTCCTTTGAATCTGAATAAAAAGTGCAGCAAACTTCAGACTCATTGACTGCAGGCTTAACAAGCGTCGGGGCTTTTCTTCTTTCTGCAGCTTGAAAGGATCTTTGGATTTTGCAAAACAGTCCCGAGAAAACAATGGCAAACTTCTTCTTACGGGCAACTTTTGGATTATGTCTGCTGAGGCTCTGTCTAACAGAAACAGGTAAGATTTTTATGAATGAAAACACTTAGGATTGTTAAGTTAATGCTTCAGACAGCAAATGCGCTTCTGCTAGATAGCTAACAGCTTTCTTGCATCTATGTACTTTTATTATTTCCAGGGTTATCAGAGATGTTTTAGAAGTGTAAGCTCAGTTGTGCTGGTCTCTACAATCACGGAAAGCTGTGCATTGCTTGTAAAGGGCAATTCCAGATCTATAAAAACTGAATTGCGGAACATTAAAGAATGAAGTTTAAACTAAGCTACACTGGGGAGTTTGGAATGGCTCTGGTAAAGCTCAGCTCGGCAATGTGACTGCTGTTACAAACGCAGTTTGCTCTCCCAGCTCGGACTGCAGCGAAAAGGGGGGCAGGGGGAAGGCGGTGAGCCCCCCCAGCTTACAGCTGCATTCTGGAGTTCACACGAGCTGAACCAACAGCTGGAACAAACTGCGTTTGGGCACAGCCTTGCTGAACAGGAGAAAAACTGCAGGGATCTCGGCTGAAATTTGGAGAGCTTTTTTGCCAAGCATGCTTGCTTCTGACTTTCTAAGGTCTCTTTGGGGCTGACTGATGAGCTTTTGGAACAAAGGGGATTAGAAGTGACAAAATTCAGTTGTTTATCACTTACCTTCCTGCAGCTTGGTTATCTGCTTTAAATATTTGTATTTAAAAGTCTAAGGTTAATACAGAGAAAAAAAAAAATAACAAATTTATGTCCAAAGTGGCAAAAATCTTTTGCAATTTCACATGATGCAGGCTCTACCGTGTTTTAGGGGAATGAACATACTTTTAGCAGACTCTCACTGTGACTGCAACTGCCTCGAGGCATTTTGTGGTTAGGGATAACAGTTGTGCTCCTATATTGTTTTTGTACTCATCATTTCCAGGAGTCTAACAAAATGCATTTTTCATGGCCATTGTCACCCAAGGGCTGTGTGTGTGTATAGTAAATATATGTCTCATTTGCTTGAGCAGCAGGGGTTAGTTCTGTAATGGTTGCACAGCGCTGCCAGGCTGTGAATGGGTGTGTCAGAGGGAGCAAGTTCCCAGTGCATCTGTGATAGCTGAAGCACCCTCACTGCTTTTCTTCCTAAAATCGTGTGTCCATTGTGCCAAAATGCTATTGTTAAGGTCAGGTATATAGACAAAGCCTTAAGAGAAAGGACAGGGCTACTGTAGGTGCATGAATGTGTGTAAATCCTTGGCTTGGTCCACATCTGTGCACTGTATAAATGTTATAACTGCTTTACTGATTTTTACTTCTATGAGCTGCCTGAAGTGTCCTAGAGAGCAGGGTCTGCACTGACTCTGGGAGTAATGTGTTTCTGCAGGGAGACAGAAAGCCCCATAATAGAGCCTTCAGCACGGTTAAAAAAGTGTGCCAAACTTCACATATGCCCTCAGGGGAAGTTTCTTTACTGGCTTAGTAAGGTATTAGATTATAGCTACAGTATATTTTAGTTGGTATACAGTACATTCCAGGATGACTTTGTAGTCAGTAATGATTTCAAAACAGCAGTTGATGGTGGTGTTTTCTTTTTTTAGCCAGTGATTTTGCTGTGTATCATAGACTAATGGCTATTGCTGTTGGGAAACTCCTGAGCTGGAATTTTGATTCATATAGTACAGAATTTTACTAATCCCTAATTTAGGGATTAAAGAGGACCTGGGATTACTTTTACTGTGATTTCAGAAGGAAAAATGAGATACAGAGAAAGCTGCTAAACTTACTCATCCTCATTTCTGTGGTGTTGTGACTACACTGTCACTGATACATTTCTTACTCATGGTGTTGACATGACTTGTGTAAGGAGTCTGGATCCCGGAGGGTACCGATGCTGACATCTTGGTTAATGATGTTTCAGAGGAGATTTTTCTCCTGCAGGCATTATGTATTTGTAGAAATATTTTTCTCAATGTTTTCCTTGATTAACACAAAGCAAATCCTACAATTCTGACACACACACACACACACACACACACACACCCCAAACTGGAAGAAACTGGAACAGAAGTAGTAGTGGTAAAGATGAAATGGAAAGAGGGAGAATGAGCCTGCCCGTGGGAGGAAGGAGCTTGGCTGTTAGCACTGGAGAGGCTGCCAGAGCCCCATTGCCAGGTAGGGCTCTGAGACAGGGCTCCTGCAGCTGCTGGCCAGTCCCAAAGGAAGAGACCTGCCTCCTCTTGCTTTACATATCTACCCTGTAAATTTGTAAATAAAGCAGTTTGAAGAAGGTCTTTGTGGTAGTTTATTTTCGCTCAGTCCTTACAGTGTGTATCTTGGCAGTTTCCCAAAGCTACAAAGTAACTAGACTTTATTAAGAGGTCACTTAAACTTTCCATCCTTGTTTAGTGGAAAGGTTAAGGAGCTGCCCTGGAAACCCTCACGCACTGGGAGCTAACAAACCATGGCAGGGGATTGTTCTGCAGTCTTTGGAGAAATGTGTGGAGATTCCTTATGTACTGGTGTTCACCACAGTGAAAAGCCATTACCTTGAAAATAGGAAGTCAGAGAAAGGCTTAATGAGGATAGATAGCATCATACAATTGAGGAAGAACCTTTTTAATAAATGCTTTTAAAACCACTGGTAGCTCGAGCCAAGGTTAAACAAAATGTTCATCCATATGTGGTGTATCTTCCTTTCCAGAAGATTTCCCATGATTTATAGGCATGAACTGAAGATAGAGTGAATATTGCAGTTATTCATCTATCACCTAAACATGCATGAGGTTTGACTGTATCAAGAATGTGCCAGCAATTGGAGATACCATGACATGCTGGTAGACAGATAAACACCAGAGAGAACCATTAGTCCTAAAATACTTGATGAAAAGATGTGGTAATATTTGATAATATTCATTCTGAGTGTAGTTGACTGGTAGTAAAACACATTGTAGAGAAGCAGAGAAAAAGCAACGTGGAGTTCCTTTATAAGGAGAGGGTAAATCAGTCAAAGAATTAAAAACTTTTTGACATTCCAAATGCTGTAGAAAGGCTTCTCCATCTGTTTTCTGGTCTTCCTCATCACATTTTTGTACCAGAACTAAGGGATAAGTGTTTGAAAATACAGTTAATATGGAAGATGATAATTCTCCCCTTCATATATCACTGTTTGGTCTTTTATTTTCAAGAGAATACTACGTGAGAGAGCAAGGGAAGGAGTTCTGCAAAACTCATCTCTAAAATTGTTTTTTCCAGGACCAAGGCTAAATGTATGTAGTTATCTGTGAAATACAACTTCACAGAGAGGATAATGCTGAAACCAGCATGACCCATCACAGTAATCCTGCCTACTATGAAAACAATGCAACATTGCACTGGAACAATTTATGGCCTTCAGAACACACCATATTTTAGAATCAGCTGGCATCTGGGAGCGTGCTGACTTAATTTGTTAGCATTAAACCGAATTCTTAAAATAGAGAAATGGAAATTTCCAACTTGCTAGAAAGTAGAACACATCCACAGCCTATTTTGTTCTTTGCCTTCACCTGCCAGGGTTTCTCTGTGACAAACCTAGTGGTTTGGACCATTCTCTGTGTGCTACCCACGACTGTAGGTGGGAAGCCAGTTTGGTGCAGTTGCTGGTCATTTTCCAGGAGTCCATCGCCTCTTAACAGTCATTTCCCCCTCCCAGAGAGGTAATAATAATTTCAAAGCTATCAGACGCTGTAATTATCAGTGGCCGTTCTGGGTGCGCAGTGGCAGAGGATTGTGTCGGGGCTGTGTGTTTATCGGTTTCCTCCCCAGTGCCTCAGCAGTAATATCAGTAGCAGCTGGCTGTGATTTCCCTCCTCCCGGAGCTGCCCCCGCCCAAGGGACGGCGGAGCAGCTCATCATATGAATGAGTCTGCAGGCACTAATGTGAAGTGGCAGCTGAGGAAAAGAGGGGTTTTCCTTGGAGAATCTTTCCAGTCAGACAGAAAGTTCAGCTAATTGCAATTTAAAGTTCAAACCTCCGTGACTGTTTCCTGCCTAATGAAACCTGCAGTCATTTTTTGAGCCTGTGCTTTCAGTTAGGAACGTAATTGAACTTTCTTTTGTAAGCAATGGCTTTGGGACTTTCCAATTCCTCTACAGGACAAAACTGGCAACTGTATATAGTGCAGCATTCTTATTTTGGTGCAATAACCTTCAATTCTCATCTTGTGAAACATTAAAAAAAAAACAACCACCCCAAACAACAAAAAAAAACCCAAAAAAACCCCAAAAGGAATTGAAGAATAATCTACAGCTTTATTCATTAAAAACATGAAAGCACAAGCAGGGTATACTAATTCAAAGTAAAAATCACAGAAAAGACCTGAATCCTACTTACATGTGGAGTTTGAAAAATACTTTGCTTCACCTTTTTTTTTTTTTCTNTACAACTTCACAGAGAGGATAATGCTGAAACCAGCATGACCCATCACAGTAATCCTGCCTACTATGAAAACAATGCAACATTGCACTGGAACAATTTATGGCCTTCAGAACACACCATATTTTAGAATCAGCTGGCATCTGGGAGCGTGCTGACTTAATTTGTTAGCATTAAACCGAATTCTTAAAATAGAGAAATGAAAATTTCCAACTTGCTAGAAAGAAGAGCACATCCACAGCCTATTTTGTTCTTTGCCTTCACCTGCCAGGGTTTCTCTTTGACAAACCTAGTGGTTTGGGCCATTCTCTGTGTGCTACCCACGACTGTAGGTGGGAAGCCAGTTTGGTGCAGTTGCTGGTCATTTTCCAGGACCAAGGCTAAATGTATGTAGTTATCTGTGAAATACAACTTCACAGAGAGGATAATGCTGAAACCAGCATGACCCATCACAGTAATCCTGCCTACTATGAAAACAATGCAACATTGCACTGGAACAATTTATGGCCTTCAGAACACACCATATTTTAGAATCAGCTGGCATCTGGGAGCGTGCTGACTTAATTTGTTAGCATTAAACCGAATTCTTAAAATAGAGAAATGGAAATTTCCAACTTGCTAGAAAGTAGAACACATCCAC